TTTTGAGAGAGTAGGCCTCAGCTACTCCAAATTACTGACGGCTATAAATAACTGTAAAAGGATTTAAAAAAAAAAAAAAAAAGCGACCACCCAAACTGGGTTATCTTGGTTTGCAGCATTACATTAAGAAAGATGGACCTAAAATACATCAAAAGGGGTATTAAAAATTCCAAGTATTAAATAAAGTCTAACTGATATGATGAAGACAAGGATGAAGTTTCTTAGTTCTTACGTTGATCTTATTACTGCCACACAGTATTAAAACAAGGTGTCCTCCCCTAACAATCCACATGGCTGCATTTCATTCGTAGCTCCTTAGAGCCTATCATAACATCCCAGAGAACAATCTCAGTACTTACTGCCTTCTCCCACAACCATTGGAAATCCAAGTTCAAGGAAGGGGGTGGTCCACTTAAGAAACAAGATATTTATAAACCTACCTTTCAAATATTTAAAAACACTGACACATTCATAACAAAAAATATGTATCAACATTAAAAAAATTAAAACAGAGCCAAGCTGTTCATAAGAACTCCACACAAGCCTCGAACACAGAGAACTACTTGAAATAAAGATGGCTTCCCCAATCAGCAACACATATCATACAAAAATACTCATGTTATTAAAAAAAGTAGTGCAGTTGTAAAGCCCTGCTAAACTAATAAAAAAATATTTTAGTACTGTTATAGCTTCCTCAGAGCATGTTAATGCAGACAAGCCTCAATCAGTAAGTAAACTAATCTAAATCAAATTCCCTCCACTTGAAAATAATCATCATGTCCTGCCCAGAGTTGGTGAGTATAAATGGATTACTGAAAATATTCTTGGTAATTGCAGGTTGCTATTTATGTTGACCAGAGTTGGAGGAGTTTACTTAGTGAAATGTCTAAGCCTGCAGACCACCAATGCACAACACACAGGAAAATCACTCTTGACATCCATACTAAAAACAGCCTGGTTCCTCTCTGCAATGTCACGGGGTGGTTATTTCAGAGTGTCAGATACACTGCTGGGGACAAAATGAAAATTTATGATTGCAGTTATTTTACTTTCAGGTAATGTGCTACCACAAGAGATTTTTCTAGTTCAGTGGAGTAGAAGTTAAATACTAGAGACTATATATTATTTTCCAAAGCCCTAAATTTTTCTGCTTGTAAACAGGTGTGTGCAAAATACCAATGGTGACAATAACTGAAGTGTATTTTTAAATTACAGGGGGCTTCGTTTGCCTTATAGTCACCAATTCCCAAATACGGCTAGTAACACATAAGTCATGGAGCGGAGTGGAAATAAAGAATACCAGGTTTAAGATAAACTTGTCACAAGATACTCGGCCAGTTAGGTGAGTTCTCATTAGCTCTCATTGTTTCCTGGGTTAAACCATAATGTTTTGTTTTGTTTTTTTAATCATCGCCATCATCAGAATTAAATTAGGAATGAGGAAACCTGGGTTCTAATTCCAGATTTCCAGCTAACCATCTAAAGAGTTGCATAATCACAGGAAAAGCATATAATCTCTCTGAGCTCCAATTTGCTTATCTGTAAAATGAGGGAGGTTGATAATAAATGCTTTTAAAATGGAACAGGAAAATGAAAGGTAAAAATGAGTCCCTCGACATATTAAAAGTGATCCTAATTTATAAAGGCAAACACAGAGAATACCACGGGATAAAAAAGAAATGTTTTTCACTTGAGGGGAAATAGGAATATGAAAAATATTATAAAATTAAATGGTCATGAGCATGTAGCAAAGAACTAACATACTCTGAGCCTTGGAAGGAAGAGTCCTACAAAAATGTAAAAAGAAAAAAAAGTCAATACTCTGCATTCCCTTTGGCCTAGTAATTCTACCTTTGAGCATAAAACCCACTAAAAAATATCCCTAAAGAAAAATCAAAGTTCTCTAAAAAAGAATCTCCATAGCAGCACTATATCTAAGAGAGAAAAATTGGAAACAACCTGTAAGTGCAAAAATAGAGGCACAGTTAAGCAAAATCTGGTCTTGCTAACAAAATGGAACAAAGGCCTATATAGCCATTTTTTAAATACTGGACCATCTTCAAAAGAGTGGAAATAGTCAACATGGTATATAACATGAAGTTGAAAGGTTGATCACAAAATACACTTGTCTTCTTCATGATTTTATAGAAAATGTATCAGTGACAACTGGAAGAGAAACTAGAGAGAAAGTATTAGTTCCCTGGGTCCATTCTTTCTATAAAGTTCATCACAACAGCAAAAAACTCAAAAGGCAGATGGAGAGAGGAGAATGCTCTCCACGTTACAGCATAGCTTTTATAGTTTCATGTGTCTTCGACCTAGCTTCACTAACGTAACTAATACCACCTTCTATCTTCATCTGACGCTTGATGTTTTCTGAGCACTTTCACAAAGATTATGTTGTTTTATTGGCTGGAAAAACAATCGCCATTTGACATTAGTACACCACAATGTTAAGCTCTTGTACAAGGTCCGCTGTGTCAGGAATGTATCCTATGAAACCATGCTATACATATTGTTGGGACTCCCTTCTCCCAGAATGTCATCATTAAGAAATCAAAGGAGGCATCAAGAGCCAGGAATTATGGTTTCAGTAAGCCTTCAGACTCTAAAGCAAATTTTAATATGGCAGAACTGGCCAGGAGGCAAAAGCCTTAGAAAACTGTTTACATGCATCTTATGGACTATTGCTTCTTTCCTTAAACATCATAAACCACAAAACCTGGCAAAAGTGATCACTCTGGTTGGCCTAGCAATAGATCTTTTTCAGATTTAAAATACGTAAGGTAAGCAAACTTCAATGCACAGAAGTCATGAGCACAGCCATGGCATTGTATTCGGGTTCAGGGTCTAGGTGCACCTTTTGATCATTATCCCACTAAAGACTCCAAAAAGAGAAAAAGTAAAAATGTAGAATTCTTCTAAATAACAATTCTTCAAAGAAACTTAACTGGTGACAACACTCTTGTAAAAAAAAAAAAAAAAAGTGGATATTTCACAAAAGCATGTGTCAATTCTCTTCCTCACTCCAAAACAGTCTTTTCTACTAATCAATACTTTGAACTTTATGTTTTAAGCTTTCAGATACTGGTGTCCTTTAACATATACTATGAGTGACAAGGAAAAAGGTAATGGTGTGGCATGAGAGAAACAGTTTTTTAAACAAGGCTAAGAGATCATGACGGTAACAGTTGGGCATACCAAAGCATAGAAGTTCTATCAAAGACCATGATACACACTTGTCTCAGCGATGGCTGGAGCACAAAGTCAAAAGCAGTTTCAATCTTTCATATTTACAACTTAGCAAAATCCCAGTTTCTAGGTTATACTAACAAGACCCTGGCAAGCAACTGTGCCCAATTTTTACCCTCACCATCATTATCTAATAATTAGAAAAAAAGGCTTTCATTTTCAAAACCATTCAACATGCCAATGTACTTCATCTTAAATCAGTGGTTTCTAACGACAGACCACGTGCTGATTTGTAACCAGAAAATTTCAGCAAGCTTTTAGGAAAAGACACTAAGAGAAAGGATTATCCATTTAAAAAGGAATCCCAGAAACAAACTGCAATAATTCAATAAATTCCACTGGTATTTTTTCTCTGGCTGAGTTATTCCAGAGAATCGTGATCAACATGATTATTTTTTCAGAATTCAAATAATATTTACAGGTCCCATAGGCCCTAGGATACCACGTAATAATTCACAGATTTTAAGAAAATGACATATGCATGGAAGAACTCCAAGGCTCATGGTAAGTAAAACTCTGATTTGAATTAAGCCTCTAACATGTCAATCATTACCCACTAGATAAGCAATTCCGTGTTGAGACAGACTCATTTAACATTTACTCATTAAAATACCACGTAATAAGGCAAGAACAGAAAGGCGTCTTTTAAAAAAAATCAACTTCAGAAAGATCACATAGGTGTGAGCAAATCACATTAGAATAGAAATGAAAATAAAATGATAATCTGCACGAAAGAACCTTAGTAGCTAAGAGGCCATTTACATTTCAAAGTCCTCTGTCTATGGTATTCTTAAGTATTATACCACTAAGGTTTGTCACTGCTACAGAGACACTTCAATTAAGGCTGTGTGGTAGAGTCCTGTGTAAATTAATTAGCCGAGGTTGCATGGCTTTTCTAAAAAGAGCTCTCTAAAACAGCCTTAGAGATATGCACGATTTGTGGGGAATTACAATTTAAATACAACCTACTAATCAATTCTTTTTGCATTCACATTTCAATGACATTTTGTGTAATGATAAATAAGTCCATGAAAATACTACTAACCAAAATTGTATTTGCTTTCAATTAGATATAAAGGAAGGGGCTTTCAAGTTTGTTTATGATACTCAAAGTTTTATTTCAGATTTTATCTAGACTTAATGGCATGATAACTATAATGAATTTCGTCGACACTTAAATAGGAGACGGGTCTATATGTGAAATTCACAAGTTAACAACTAAATTTGCCATCTAGTTAATTTCTATCAACAATGTCAGAACAAAAGTATGGATCTCACGCTCCTGCCTCAAGACATCCTGGTAGATCCTTTATTATAATTTGGCTGAATATTAAAGTTTGACGTGTTTTATCAAAGTTAATATCCTAGTTATTTTTAAATTCAAACTACTGAATGGATTTTTGCTGTAAATAATTTCTATTAGAATCAGATGTTTGGCAAACAATATTCGTCAACATAAGTAAAATGTGTGCAGAAAAACTAAAAATTAATTGCATTATGGTTTCTACTATAAATTAAAAATGGAAGAATTCTGAAGTTTTCAAGAGATTAGGCGCCTTCCAATTATGTACATAAGAGATTCATAAGCTCTTCTGTAATCCTAAAATAAAGTCCCTACAGTCTCATTATAGTGATTGTGAAAAATTCATACTTGTTATATAGTAGAGATGATTTAGAGACTTTTTAATGGCTAATTTGTTTCAAGAGCATAGACACTGTATGTACAAATATATCTTTTGAGATAGTACCATTGAGAAGAGGCTGTCCTTCATGCACATCCTGCGATAAGACTGCACTGTAAACATCTTCAGGAAATCCAGTCTTGCATAATGCGACTTCACCAGAAGCCTCTACAGACGCCTGCAACACAAGAAAAAAATGTGTGCAATGATTGCTACCTCCTTCAACTCAGAAACATACCACTTGGCATAAAGCCGCAATTTTTCTGCTATCTTGTACAAACAACCCCTTTGTATCCGAACAGTTACAATTAGAATGTAGAGGGCAAAGGGTTAATCTTTTTGATAACTGAAGTAGAAGAAACAAATCCCACTTGTCCTGTCCAGTAAAATCGAAATAATACACTTTAGGTTCTTCTAAAGACCGCACATTTCCATTAAAATGGTCATTGTGACTGAAGAATTATCAAGTGGACCAGGGGTAGGGGACAGCCGAGTAGTTTTCGGGCTCCACAAATCATCATTGCCATCTTAACTTTCCAAGAAACATGTATACGTTCAAGTACACAGATTTTTATATCCTCATAGAATTCTCTGTGAAGTTTGTTTCAATATACTCTGTTACTTAAAAACAAAACTACAACATACTTCAGGATATAGGGTATTTTGTATCAAGAAAAAAAATTAATCAAAAGCATATATTTCTCTAATTTGAAGAGCAGGGATATATTAAAAATATAAATAAAGATTAATACAATTATGTTTCCTTTTTATACTTAAAAATTAGAAAGTCTCAGGACACCTTAGTGGCTCACTCGGTTAAGCATCCAACTCTTGGTTTCATCTCAGGTCATGATCTCATGGTTCATGAATTTGAGCCCCCTCATGAGGTTCTGTGCTGGCAGAGCAGAGGCTGCTTGGAATTCTCTCTCTCTTCCTCTCTCTCTCACTGCCCCTCCTCTGCTTGTGCTCTCTCTCTCTCTCAAAATATATAAACTTTAAAAATTAAAAAAAAAAGAGGGGGAAGGGGGGTGATGGGCATGGAGGAGGGCACTTGTTGGGATGACCACTGAGTGTTATATGTAAACCAACTTGACAATAAACTATTTAAGGAAAAAAAATTAGAAAGTCTCTCTTATCATCTTCCTCTCTGTTATCACATACCCCTTTAAACACCCAGTGAGATTAAAACTCAATCATACCAAGTTCTATCCACTTACCCCACCAAGTTAGTTTCACTGTGTCTTCCAGCCCTACTGACATCATCACAGCACTCAACAGGACTTGTGCAGTGCTGACATTAATTATAGGAAACTTCACCCTGCAGTGACGGGGAGCCAAATACAGGAGGAGGAAGAGCATACAGAAGCTGACAGAGGGAGGGACTGCAGTATTGGCAGGGCTAGCATTAGAAGCAATCTGCACTGGTGAGGAGAATCAGAAATTGGGAGGAAGGAGGAAGGGAAGCCCTGGAAAGAGAGAGGCATGAAAGCTGCTGTCACAGCGATACAGCTCAGCCTCATAATGAAAAGGGCTACCAGGATTATGCATGAGAAGTTTTGCAAATACGAAAGCCATAATAATCCACACTAATCTAACATTTAAACTAGTCTTTTCAGATCTGGGAAAATAAAGGAAAAAGTACATTTGAATGTCGTTAAATATTGCATAGTATTTAATCGCACAAGAGTATTAGGAGCCACGGTGAGATATTAGTTCAGACCCTCCAAACTAGCAAACAGTTTTAGTCTGTCGTGTGCAAGAAAGGACTACATCAAGTCAAGGATCTAGAGCAGCCATGCCCCTCACACAGGTGTTAGTGGAAGCTGGCACAGGCACAACGGAGCGCAATCTGGAAAATTCTAATACAGATGACTGGATACATCCTTGCCTACACGGTAGGTATACTCCTATGGAAACTTTCCTATGGGTGCTCCAGTCAATGTGCATGTTCACAGCAGCACGGTGACAATAGTGGGACCCAAAGACTAACTAAACGTCCATCAAAATTCTCCCACTGCCAAAAAAATGAACATGCAACAGCATTAGAATGAAGAATTACAGCTACATTTATCCCCAGGGTTACATCTCAAAACAAAGAGTTTCTTTAACTTCCATGTAAGCCTGCAATAGAAACTTAATTATAAATCAACCTGGGATGACCATTACTTTTAGGCAAGTTCAGAAACTATTTAAGCAACATTCCAAACTCTCAGGTTGAAGACGGTACCCTCTGCAGCATGAATCTTGCAAAAAAATTTTAAACCATGATTGATGACGCCATTTCTATACATAAAGTTTAATATCATGTGAAGTTATTGACATACATCAAGCAGGAATATAAAAACGCACAAGGTAGTGGTAACACCAAACTGAGGACAGTGACTACCCCACCCGGGGGAGGGTGAAATAGGAAAGGTGTCAGGAAGGGTCGTACAGGTGGCTTTGATTTTCTTTGTAATAATTCATTTCTTTCAAAAATAATTTAAATCGAATAGAGTAAAATGTGAAGATACGCACAGGAACATGGGTGCAAATTATATTATTCCCTACTTATCCTGTATGCTCTATGTATTTCATAATAAGAAAGAGAAAACATTAGAGCCTAAGTGGATATCAGGATTCAGGCTTCCAACACCCATGAAATTAGGGACACTGGATGCTAATTTTGATTCTTGCCTTCCGGAAATATCCAGGCACTTGCACCAGGTCTGGCAAAGGACAGGCATTCAATAAGTGAAAGCTTTTGCTTTTGGTTAACCAAAAGGATGAAAGGGAGCTCCCCGGTTCACTTGTAAAATGGCCCAAGGTGTTAGAAATCTGTGCTCCACCGATGGGTTAGAAGTTGGCCTGTTCATCTCCAGACCAGACTTCTGCAGAGGGGGGCCATGGCAGGCCTCCAACCCAGGGTAGGTGGGAGCAGAGTTCTGCAGGGGCAGCAGAACAGAGGCCAACAATGGGCGGCGTGTAGTAAGCAGGGGTCACATTCCAACATGGGGTGAGGGCAGTGGGCAGGTGTGTACACAAACACTCAGAGATCAATAAAGTCTAAAGACTAGAGGGAAACTGTAAACTTTTTTTCAGCTCCACAGCTAGTCTCTTGTTTTCCGGTGGATCTGCCCTAAGGTAGGAGAATAAGCAGCAACATGTTCCTCATCCAAACCCACAGGAATGGAATTTCAAGGCCGAATCAAGTCTGTCAGTAATGCTGGGAATGTTCACTTCTGAGTTTCTGTCTCCACCTTATTTCAGAGAAGGGAATTTCTGTCCTTAACATGTTATCCTTTGCCCAACGCCTTTGCTCCGTCTCCTCATCTAGGAAAGGGGACCTACCTGCAGAAGGCGGCTGTGAGAATCTCTGATACCATGTGTCTAAAGCACATCTCTAACAGCTGCCTACCAATATTAAATACCCACGGGGGTCATGTGTTACTTTATGAGATCTTCCTATTCATCTTAAACAGCCCAAGCTTCTCTAAATTCCCTAAGACAAAATGGATTCATAACATAACATCCTGTTATTCTATAATGTGTTTCCTTAAAAACGGGCTCCAGAATTATGAAATGTAAGGATACATTTTCAGTTGCTGCAGCTGGGGAGAAGGGTGCTACTTGCTTTAGGGGCTGAAGACCAGGGATGCTTCTAGTCATCACACAATGCACAGGCCAGCCCCCACTGCACAGAATTATCCAGCCCAAAATGTCAATAGGGCCACCAGGGAGACACGCTATTCTTTAGCAACTCACGAAATGGGGGTCCATCTACCCTTTAACATCCCTGGCAGTGGAAAGTTCACCATCTTTTCAAACAGTCCACCAAACTCTTACCGGAACATCCACCTTTTCTGAAAACTGAAACAGTTCCATTGTAGCTTTGCTTCACTGTTAATGGATGAGTCCGCTGGACCCATGAGGAAGGTCAAGTTCAAAGATAGAAACTTTCTCCTCAAACTGTTCTCTGTGGTGCATGGGGGAGGTGGTGAATCACGCGCATGTCCCAAATATTTGAATAAGGTAGGGATCAGCAAACATTCTTTTCTAAGGGGTCAGACAGTAAACATTTGAGGCTTGACAAACCACAGTGTCTCTGCTGAAACTTAACTCTGCTGCTGTAATGCAAAAGCAGTAATAGACACTGGGAAATGAATGAACACAGCTCCATTAATTCAAATAAAACTTTACATATGGACACTGAAATTTAATTTTCATTTCAGTTTCAAGTATCAAAAATATTTTTCTTCTTTTGATGTTTTAAAAGCATTTAAAAACATAAAACACATTCTTGACCATACAAAAATTCGGGGCGCCTGGATGGCTCAGATGGTTAAGCGTCCAACTTTGGCTCAGGTCATAATCTCACGGTTTGTGGGTTCGAGCCCTGCGTCGGGCTCTGTGCTGACAGCTAGCTCAGAGCCTGGAGCCTGTTTCAGATTCTATGTCTCCCTCTATCTCTGACCCTCCCCTGCTCACGCTGTCTCTCTCTCTCAGAAATAAATTTAAAAAATTAAAAAATTATTTTTTTTTAAAAAATGGGCATCAGGGGTGTCATCCGTAATCCCTGTAATAGTGTGTTAAGTGTTATAGAACATTGCTATCTCACCTAATTCTCACAATAGTCCCTTGTGGGGGGTGAAATTATCTTCATTTTAGAAATGTGCAAATGGGTTCTCACTCAGAGGGGTGTTAAGATACTCAAGACCTCACATCCAGGAAGAGGAAGAAGTATGATGCGAACCCTACAGTCTTTCCAAGTAGAACAAATACAGTGCAATTGTTTCCAGAAACTTGTACAGAGTGTCCATTTGCCAATGGAAATGAGACACCCTCACTGCCTTTAAGAAGTTCAAGGCTTAACATTAGAGCAAAATAAAAACTGACTGCAATAGAAAGTGGCAGCCAGGAGGTAGGGACATACAAAGAACCCAGGGCAGGGGTCTGGGGGCCTCCCAAGCAGAACCCAGGAGTAGCCAGGCAGTGTGGGTTGGTGGGAAGCCATCCCAGGCGGTCACTGTTGAGCTGGAACAAGGCAGCAAGAAACAGCACACTGCCCAGGGAATTACAATGAGTTCAGTGTCACTGGAGTCCAAGAAGCAAGGCAGGAAGTCAAGAGTTGAGGCTGGAGAGTTAGACAGGGTTAGATCATAAATGGTTGGGGGCTTGGGGTTATCCTCTTGGCCATGA